TAATAATAATAATAATAATAATAATAACAACATGAGCTTTCTTGTAGCACAATATGTTTTTGGGACATTCGACCTCAAAAACCTGGAAGCGGAGCCACAACAACCACAAACACAACTACAACCGAGGAAAACTCACAGCCACCACCAACGCCAGGAGCCGAGAAGAAGAAAGAAGAAACCATTGAAATCCCCTTTGATGTGCCATCGACTTTCTTGCACCTGGACCTCTCCTGGAAGCCCCAGTCTCGAGTAAGTAACACGGGCTTGTCTCCACCCACACACTACACCTTCTGCGAAGGTCACGCCCGTGCAGCCACCCTCCAAAGGAAGAGCGACTCAGATGAACACAGGACCTCAACGTTTATGAGTCTGTCGATTCAGCCAACAAACTCCTGACTGAGGATGACGGATGCCTACCTAGACCCAGACACCCAAATCACAGAGAACTAGGGATAGGTATTTCCCATAAGCGAGCTACAATTTACAAACACTTGTGTGATGATTCTTTCCCTGCATATTGGTTCCTTGAAAATTGGTAGCTACTCAGGTGGGTCTAGAAAAGTTAGTTTTTCCCCCACATCCAAAGGGAAAAAAAATCTGCACACTTGGAGAATCAGTAGTAAGAAATGATACTGTAATAATGCCAACTACACAGAGCCGGGAAGTCACTGAATAAGACGTGACCTGTATTTAACCTGAGTTGGCAATTGGACTTGAAATGAGCATGGCGGTGGACAGGGACCTGTGGAAAGTGTGTGGAGGCCTTTAGAATAATTCCAGTCCCAGACTTAATATCTTCTGATTTATGAATGTCACATCAACATCACTGGGTGTTTGCTCCCAGAGAAGGAGCTTGGAGGGGCGAGACTATTTCTGAAGTTAACTGGGGGAGGACAGGAAAGAGAACATTAGTAATTGCCTGGGGTAGGAGGCTGGAGAGATGGCTCGGCAGTTAAGAGTAGTTGCTGCTCTTTGCAGAGGATATAGGTTCGATTCCCAGCACCCACGTGGTGGCTCACAACCATCATTGACTCAGTTCCAGGGCATCAGATGCCCTATTCTAGCCTCTGTGAGCACCAAGCGTACACATGGTACACAAACATACATACGGGCCAAACACCTATACACATAAAATAAAATAAATCTAAAAGAATTTTTTAGAAAGAAAAGAACTGTCTTGGGTAAGAGTTACTGAGATGTGGATAGCTTAAGCAAAACAAATTAACATGCAAATGGACCAAAGAATAATTGCATTGCAAGTGGATGAACATACAGAGGGAGAAAACTGGTGAGAGAGGACGAGCCCTAATGGCCATTTGTCATCCTGGCCATGAATGCATGATGCAGGCACAGGGCCACAGCTGTCACTCAGGGTAAAGTGTGTCCCTGATGAGACCAGCAGGCATCCAGGAGATGCCAGGTCCTCTTTGGAAGCTTCACTCCACTGAAGGATTTGGGGAACAGGGGACTAAATCATTATTTTACATGACAACTCATAAAGGTGCATTTGGGGATATGGTTTGAAGCATACAAAGGAAGGAACACTTTGGACTGGGGAATGTGTCCCCAGGCAAACTTCCCTCGGCAGCACAGTTACAGAGATACAGATTAGATGCTCTCCTTAGGGAAAGCAACTGGGATCAAGGGGTGGGGCTGTAGAAGGTAAGTTTCTTACAGTCTAGGAGCAGAAGGGGCAGACAAAAACACTGCAAGGTTTTCTAAGAATATAACTTTCCTTTATGTTCTTCCAACAGATAAGACTGTCTAAGGGAGAAACGAGCTTAGACCACTGTCCAACCAAGCTGAGCCTGGGTGAAGACCCTCTTCTCTGCAGAATGCAAGGTAACGGACCAACCGCCTTTGATCATTAAAAGCACCTATCTTAGAGCATTCGTGTCCGTTTGCGTCCACGGTGAGTTACCTGCTAGAACAGTCTGATCTGTAAAAAGAATTCTGCCAATGACACTTCTGGGATGGCTTACAATGGCTGTAAGAGAGATCGCCTGCACAGAAACCCTCGGAACACACATGGTGCAACAGAATTCTCTGGTTCAGCTTTGTAAGCAGAGTGCGTGTGTGTGTGTGTGTGTGTGTGTGTGTGTGTGTGTGTGTGTGCCTGTCTGTCTGTCTGTCTGTCTCTGTCTGTTCTACCTGCTTTTATTGCCCATGCTGATCATGAACTCCTGGACTTAAATCTGAGATGGCCTCTGGGTCAGTTCCTACCTCCAGGTTGCTGCCCTGTGTGAGTTCCTGCCCTAACTGCTTTAAATGAGGAACTGTGATATGGAACTGTGAGTGAAGTATACCCTTCCCTCCCAAGTTGCTTTTGGTAGTGATTTCGTAACAGCAATAATAGCCATAAACAATACAGGTGGGAATGATCAAAATACATTGTATATAAGTATGAAAGTTCCAGAGAATATATAAATAAAATTTTAGGTGAAAGAAGCCCACCTCAGGAATGCGTAGTATTGAGAGAATAATTTTATAGACTGAAACTTATCTCAGGTATAACAAAATAAATTATGAAACATAAAGGAACAAATTTCCATAATTATAATTTTTAAACTAATAGCTACACAGTGCCGTGGTAAACTGAATAAGAAATGAAAATCCATTTCTAAATCTAGCTTGGCTAAACACGTGTCTCTTGGGCAAGTGATTGAAGGATGTGCACGAGCCGTCAAAACTCTGAGGGGTTTGCTGTGCCCAGCTGGAGAGCGAGTGCACTGGAAATGTGAAAAAATGTACAAAGCCCACGAGTAATGGCAGCGTTTTCAGGCACGTGCCTGGCCGCCAGAGTTTCTACCATAAATGTCTAAGGTTTGCTGAAGGAGGGACATCGAAGAAAAACCCTTTTGTTTCCTTATTTATTTTAAAGTAAGTAATGCCAATTTTAAAAACATAACACGTTTGTTTTCCTTTGGTTGGGCCTGCTGGATTTTAAAGGAACTACAGATTCTCCTCTTCCTCTTTTTTGTTCAGTGTATCCATTATTATCCATGGAGTTCCTGCTGTGGGTCAGGGACTGTGCTAATAGTGTGCAGGCCTTCACTCTGTGGGTCAGGGTCTGTGCTGATATGGCATGGGCTTTCCTTCACCTAACAGACACTCATGAAGGTCTTACAGTGAGGCCATTGTGGTGAACACAACCAGATAGATGCCGATGCTTGCAACAACCTGCAAGCTGGGAATCTTCATTCATGTTCTATAATTAGGAAAACGAAGGCCAAGAGAGGTCAATGCAACTTCCAAAGAGATTGTCTTGTGTTAAATATCTTAGGATCATTTTCTTACTGAGTATCCCAGGCGGACTGGAATTCCCTATGTACTCTAAGCTGCCTCCAATTCTCAGCAACCCTTCAGCCCCAACCTTGGAAGTGCTGAGGTTGCAACCCGCCACCTCCAATCCTATTATCATTTTTAAAAAGCTGGGTAAATATAAATAGTCATAAAGTGGATAAAGTAGACACATATTCATGACAACTTAGGCTTTAAAAAATGACGTATCCAGTTTAGAGTATGGATATTACTACACTTTTTAAAGTGTGAAGAGTTTTTATTTGTTTTAATAATTCTACTGTAGAAAATAGAGATAAGGTATAGTGCACATTAGTAAGAGTTTGAGGGCCTCACGCATGCACACCTAGGAAACACCATCACAGCCAACATGTTCTCTCACAGAAATGTCCCTTTGTCATCTTTCCTAACTAACTGACACTCCACACTAATTTGCATTTTGTACAATTTTGTATGAATTATTGAGAGTGTGCACTCTCATTTTTAGCTAGCTGTTTGTTGTATTTGTTTGTCTGTCTGTCTGTCGGTTTGGAGGGGACAGGTTCCTACTGTGTATCCATCTATACAAAGGTATTGGATCCTCTGGAGCTATATACAGTTGTGAGCTTTTGTATTTTGGGTGCCTGGAATTGAACTCAGCCTTTCTCCAATTTGTTGTTGATGATGTTTTTTAGAGACAGGGTTTCTCTGTGTAGCCCTGGCTATCCTGGGACGTGCTCTGTAGATCAGGCTGGCATTGAACTCACAAAGATCCATCTGCCTCTGCCTCTGCCTCCCAGGTTCTGGGATTAAAGGCATGTGCCATCACCACTCAGCATCCAATTTGTTTTAACTTGGCTTCTTTGTTATCTTTGAAAATCCTTACTATAGCTTAGATACTGGTCCTTTATCAGATATGTGACGTGGAATATTTCCTTCCAGCCTACATTATGTTTTCTTATTCTCTTAATAATCTTTGTAAAACCTAAAGATTTAATTCTGAGGAAGTCCAACTTATCAGTTGGCTCTTTTGTGCATTTAAATATTGACATTGAATCAATCAAAGACATCATTGCCTAACCCAAGGCCGCAAACATTTTTTCTAGCTATTTCCAGTGGTTTCCTTTCGACCTATGGTCTCATCCAACTTGTTATGTGTGTTCCTACACTCTGTTGAAAGTGCTGTCCTTTCTCCCATTGGCTGACTTGTCAAAAGTCACATGCCCACACTGGATATATTAGATAACACTTGTAAGCCTAGCGTTGGGGAGGCCTAAACAGGGTGATTGCTTCAAGTTCAGGACCAGCATAGACTACATAGCGAATTCCAAGCCAGCCTGGGCTATAAAGCAATGTAAGTCACTTGTCTGTGTGTTTAAGTGTGCTGCTGGCATTTGCCTATTTGACAAACCATGGCCAAATTCTGTCACAAGCTGTTTCTGCATCTTTTGAGATGATTATAGTGTTTTACTGTTTTAAGCTTATG